CCAGCGACTTAATTTAGATATTATTTCTTTTTCACTTACAGAAAATTTTTCGATGAGAACATCTGCAATAAAATGCATTACTAGTTTTTTTACACACACGCACACACACATGCACGCACATGAAACAAATATAACTGAATAATTAATAGACAGATATAACTAATAATAAGAAATACCTCTTATGCATTCAAAAGTTCGCGTATCGCAAAAACTCCTCTTTTTCTGTCCACCGCATTCACGTCCACAAGCAGTATATTGTAATTGAATATCTTTACTAAGAAGGGCTGTTAAAATCGTTGAAATACTTTTTGTGAGATTTTCAATACCTGTTATTTGGTTTGACAGTATGATTTTCTGTAATATATAACAATATGTAATGTTATATTTTTGTAATCATATTTATTTAATAACTAATTCTTATATTTAATGACTATTTCTTACATATGATTTTTCTTTCTCGACGTTTAATGATAATAACTCATTAAATTGTATAAATTGTTCTATAGTAGTAAATGGTAAAGAAACTGCTAAGTCCTTTTTACATTCCGTTATTAGTGTACCCAATGGACGGCCAACATTAAGTGCTAATGTATTTTTTATATCATTAATGTTTTTATGCAGATCGTACAAGATGCTTCTTTTTACACTTTCAATTTCTTGTTTTATTGTTAATTCAAAACGCTCAAATCGGTCCATTAATTGTGCAAAATAGTCATCATTATTATATGTTATTTTACTATTTCCCTCTGAAAAGTAAATTTATATACATTTATTTATATACATATTTATTTTTATACATTTTTATATATATATTTATTGATATAAATATAATATATCTATATAGAACTGAAGAATATTGTGTAATGAATTACACTATATGACAAATAATTCATTGTTATTTCTGAGTTTGATCTGCTTTTAAGCTGATTTATTTTTACAAGTGTTTTAACATGAATTAAGATGAATTATGTTTTTCAATTTTTTTCTGCTACAGCATATTTAGTCTTCCAAAAACAAAATAAGAAAAAAATATTTAATACTCTACTTTTTATTAGAATATTAAATATTTTAAATTAAATAATTCATTAAATTCGTTAATTTAAATAAGATAAATACGTAAATTATTAGATTATAACTGCACATAACATTAAAACTTTATTAAAATATCATATTAAAATTCAATATATCAAGAATATTTATAATGTAGCTTTTATTGTAAAATATTCGAGTTTTATTTTTTAGCAATTTAATTTATAGTAATCTCCTTCTTTATTGATTATTTGATTTATTTTTCATCTCTGTTACAATATTTGAGTATTCTGTACACAAAAAGAAACTATTTTAAAAATATTGGATTTGAAAAAGAAAATCTCATTTGATCTGAAGATATAGTAGTCAAATAATACAATGTCTGTTACCTTTTAATGCAGGCATAACAGGAACATATGATGGTATATTATCTAATGCAGTTGAACAATCTTTCTCTTTAAGAATTACAATGCCAGAATTATCATTTACATTTGTTTCCTCAGCAGTACTAGATAGAACTGAGTGTGTATACGCTTTCTGTAGTCGACGTTTGCCTTGATCATAATTAACTACAAAAGTAATATGAATGAATTTATAATTGCTCTAAATTATACATGCTACAATAGATTAAGTTATATATAATACGTTATAAAAATATTTTACAAATATCAAAGCAATGTATAAATTTTAATGATATTCTAATTTTAGCTTACTTGCTTCTTTTAATATTATGACTTCCCATAATTTCCAATCTTCTTTTGGATCCTTGGATATTTTTGTCCATTTATCAACCTTAGACCAATCTTTTTTTTCTGGGAAGTAACATAGCCATTTATCCGTGAACTTTAACCATGAACGCGGAACTAATTCTATTGATTCTTCATCATTAGAATTTTTTGAATTAATGAAAAGAACAATAATGTGTGTAGTATCTTTTTTTAATGTATTCCTGAAAATAGTAAAATAAAAATATGTGTTAAATCAGTAATAACATAATACAAGATTATTAATTGAGGTTATAATTGAGGTTATCATTTTCTATACTGATATAAATAAATGAAATAACTTACATTTTTATTGTAGCCAATTATTTACAGTAAATTTCACCATGGAAGATTTTATTACTGTTATTTCAATGGAAAAGTAAAAATGCAAGAAACAAACGTCTTTGTAAGAATTTGTTGAATACGACTTAGGAAGTGTGCTCATAGCATGCGGCAGCGCCATAAACAATGAAACAATAGTGATATATCACTATAGTTCGAAATGCTAATAGAAGGCATGATTCAAATAATGATTAAATTGAAATTGTCAA